TCAGCAGATGCCATGTGTCCATCTAGTGTAGACCTGGGTTAGCAGGTGCCCAGTGACATCAGCAATAGACCAGGGTCGGCTCAGGGGGTGAACGATTCAGGCTCTGAGCTCTGCCACCCGGGCGGCAGCAGCCACTGATGAGGTGACACCCAGGCTGGCCGTGCTCCAGGAAAATGTCACTCACAACAGTCGGGGCCAGGCGTGGCGCGGGCTGGARTCTGTCGACCCTGCTGTGGGCCTGACCTGATGTGTCCGGGGGGTCACCTCGATGTCAGCAGAAGCTCCGGAGGAGGTGCAGGTGGCTGCGAGGCTGCCGCCCTGAGTCACCGCCGCCAACCTGCCGCCCCGTGCCGTKTGGCCAGGGAGGAGGAAGCTCTTCAGCCCGGGCCCCACGCATGTGGCGGTCTCCGTTCCCACAGGCGTGGGCGCGCGTGGCTCTGCGTGTGCTGCGGCCACACCTCGTCATATCGGCCACCCCAAGGGGCAGCCCAGGGCCCACCAGCGTCCAGCGGCTCAGCTGAGTCGATGACGGGTTCGCCCAGGGCCAGGGCACCAGGGAGCCCGCCTGGCCGCCTGTCGCAGGTGGAAAGGTCCACGACGGCTGTGGAGGGCCAGAGGCAGGCGGTGCTCTCTGAGCTCCAGAGATTACTGTCACACRGCGTTTTCTGCCTCTGGGTCCCCTCAGGACAAACAGCTGCGTTTCCCTGTCCTTGTCACTTCATGGGCACAGAATTTGCGGGCACAGAGCGGCTGGGCTCACTGTCGCSGGGGTCCCTGGGCACCGCGAGGTGGGTCCTCCAGGGGCCACTCAGCGCAGCGCCCGGGGGTGCAGACAGGAAGGAGCCGCCCTGRGGCCTGGGCAGGGCTCGAGGGCACAGATGAGCACACGGCAAGAGCGTCCCCTGAAGCGAGGGTCCGTCCCCACGTGGCCAGTCGGGCTGCGTGTTCCTGTACGCAGCCCGGGGGCCAGGGTCTCAGGCCCCGCAGGCCTCCGGGGGCCTTCACGGGGACACTGGCCGCAAGCCTGGTCAGGACGCCTGGGAGTCGGCCCAGAGCCTGGGCGCCGCTGTCCGGTGGCGCCCTGTAGGGGGAGCGCAGATGGGAACTTGGTTCCCTCCTAAGGAAGAGGAGTGGTCCTGGCCGCTGGGGTCCAGGGCTCCAGCCAGCCTCAGCCGTGGGTCCCGCAGCCCGGGCGGAAGGCACCTCGGGGCCCACCGAGGTGAGGGCTCACCCTCCAGGCTCTGAGGCCCCCAGGCCTGTCCACGGAGCCCCTCACTCCCTCTGCTCCGTGGCTCCCCACGCCGCCCTGTGGTGCTGGCTCCCCGCCGAGTGGCACTCAACGAGCTGATTGGGGAACATCGCCCCCGTCACTGGCACGTCGCCCTGGCTTCCAGGCGTGGCCTCCTTCACGACCCCAGAGGCTCGCTGGGCACCACCCGGCCGTACACTGGGGTCCGGGGGTGGCGGTGCCCGGGCCCTGAGGGCTGCCGAGTCCTCGCGAGGCCTTGGCTCCGCCCTGGCCTCCTGGCGGCCTTGCCCTTGAGCGGCCTGTGCCGTCTGTCCTTGCTTGAAACTCCCAGAGTCCAGCGGCCTCTCGGAGGGCCAGCTGCTGCCCGGGGCCGTGGGTCCCCGCCGGGCCGGCCCGCGTCCTGCGCTGCGGCACAGCCTCTCTTTTCCCCACCCGCCCTCAGAAGCGCCGGCATGTTCCGGAGGAATCCACAAACAAATGGAAGCAGAGGGTCAGGACGGCCCTGGCCGGGGTGAAACTGGTACCTTCCTGTTGGGGCCACCCGAGTCTTGGCGTCTGCCAGCAACCCTCCGTGTCTCTGTCCCCTGCCACGGCTGTGTCCACGTCTGCTGCCTCCCCCGCTCCCCGCTGCGTCACTGCATGGCTGTGGGGGTCTCCGTGTGCGGTCACTCGGGCGTGCACTGGCCAGGGCTGCCGAGTGCCCAGGATCCTCTCCCTCACTCGCATGTGGCCGCYCCTGGAAGGAGTGGCCCTGCCGCTGTGTCCATGCCAGTGGCCTGTGTGTCTTCCTGTTCAAACCCCCCTCTGACACAGTGTGTGCCAGTGACCGGCTCCTCCCGGGTTCCGTCCAGCCCATGCCGACCTGGCCCTGTGGCCTCTCGGGCTGTGCTGCTGGGCATTGCCACCAGGGCTGCCAGCAGCCTGCCTTGACTAGCTGCCCAGGGGACAGTTGACCATTGTRACCCAGAGCTCCTCAGATCCTGTAGCCCTTGAGAGGAGCGTCGCTGGGAAGGAGGGTCCCCAAGTGCGGCTGACCCCGGGTCTTCTGGGAGCGTTTTGAAGCCGTGGGTGGACGTGCACAGCTTCGTGGGCACAGGCCCCACGGCGTCCCTGCACCCTGGACTGGCACTCGCCGGTCGCCTCTGCTGAGGTTCTGCTGAGTGTCCCTGTCATCCCGTCTCCCACGTGCACATGTCTGTCCAGCTCTGTGGTCCCCGGCGGATGACCGGGTCATTTCCTGTTGCAGACAGACAAGGTGAAGCTCACCTGGAGAGACCGGTTCCCGGCCTACTTCACCAACCTGGTCTCCATCGTCTTCATGGTAAGTTCCGCAAGGCCAGGGTGGGTCAGCGTCATCTAGGACAAAGTGGCCCGTCCGTGGGGGCAGCAGGCGAGTGGGCAAGCCCACCCTCATCAAGATGGAAAGGCGTCGGGGCCCCACCGAGGCCAGGGGCTCCCATGGCGGGAGGGGCATGAGCCACCTCAGGTGGTGACACTCAGCTGTCACGTGAGGGTGCCCCTTACTCCAGGCCCACCATACAGACCTGGCCTTCACAGCTGTCCTGCGGGACAGACGAGGGGTCTTCAGGAAAACCACCAAAGAAGCGGCTAGACAAAGCCGCAGGACACTGCTCAGGGGCCTCCAGCCGGCCTCGGGGAGCCGAGTCCGAGTTGGTGCCTGGCTGCACGTGGCCTGTGGTGGATGTCCCCCGTGGCTCTGTCCTGTCCAGCCTGGGAGCTCCAGCCAGAGCCTGGTGCAGCCGCCTGCCCCGAGGCCTGGACAGGTCCCCTGGCCTCCACGCCAGGGCCTCTGGGGAGTGTCTCCCGGCTCGTCCCCCAGGCTCATCCCAGCCCACACGACCCTTCTACTGAGGACGTGGAGGCCAGAGGTGGGCCCTCTGCCCTGAGCACGGCCAGCACTGGGAGCCAGCGGGCAGCCTGCCTGGGGGCAGGTTCAGAGGAGAAGACAGGCAGGGGCTTCTAGACCCGGGGAGGAGCCGCCTGCGAGCCACGGAAGGCCTCCGGGCCTCGGTTTCCCCTGAGGCTCCCATGCGAGGCTGACCCTGGAGAGATCCATCCCCAGCCCGGGCCACCCACCCTGTCCTGGAGGAGGGAGCCACTCAGCAGGAYGGCTGTGGTGTCCCAGGAGGTTCTGGGTGGAGGGGCTCGGCCTGGCCTTGAGGGTGACTGCTGGAACTGGGGTCAGCAGAGAAAGACGTGGTCCCTGACTGGGAGCCTGGCCGGCCGTCACCCAGGGGGGCCAGGGCTCTGGAGAGAGGCGGCTCAGGCAGCCCCAGGCTCCGCTGCTCCTGGTGGAGGAGGAGCATGGTTAGCAGAGGGCCAAGGAGACCCCGGGCTTTGCCATTGTTCCTCGGGGCCAGCAGGGTGCTGACGTCCCCGACGCTCACCTGTCCTGCACCTGTTCCCTTCTGCTTACCACACGGCTGCCCCACCTCCAGCATCACCACCACTCTCCCCGCAGGAAGCAAGGGAAGGGCTGGGGGCGGGCAGAAGGTGGCAGCAGAGACATCCCTCTTTGAAGGGCTTCCCCAGAGGACCCTCCGTGACCTCTGCCTGTCCTCTCAGTCAGAGCCCTTTCCTGTGGCCAGTCTGCAGAGAGGCTGAGCCAGGAGCACATGGCGGTCTCAGCAAGGGCGGGAAGCCGGAGCCAGGGCCCAGGAATGTGGGGCAGGGAACGAGCCAGCTCCCCCGCCCGGGCCCAGCGTCCCGGCTAGCCCTGCCACCAGTGAGTCACCCTCCGGCGTCTTCGAGGACACAGCTTGGTCCCTGGCTCTGTCCATCTGGGGACCCATGTGGTCCTGAAGAYGGTGGCGAGGACCCTGAATCCTAGAGGCGTGGCCATCCTGGGGCTCCCTGCTGAGTCATGCAGGCCCACGGGCACCGCGGCACACGGGCACCGGGCCAGGGAGGGGCCCTGAGGGGTTCTCCAGGGAAGCCTGGTTCCTGCTGCCCGGGATCGGAACCCAGGCTGCAGGGCGGGCGTGGCCACCATTTAGTCACCAGCAGACGTCTGCAGAAGCAAGTCAAGGCCAAAGTTTAAAATGAGCTTCCCTAGAAACTTCCAGAAGCCATAGCCTCCCCCACGAGCAGGTGTCCCCGACCCTGAGCGTCCCTGGGAGACTGGCCAGTCGGGCCTCCCCAGCGCATCCTGGGAGCCACGCATGACCCCACAGGCACAGGGTCTTCCGCATCCGGGACGTGGTACAGGGGCCTCATCCGGCAGCTGGACCACAAGTGGCCAGCAGGCCCAGCCCTGCGGTGCAGTCCTGGGGCTCGGTGTGGGGTGTCCACAGCGCCACGCAGGGCGGGGCCAGCGTGGGCCCGGGGGAGTGGGGCCTGAGGAAAAGGAACCCAGACAGCCGGTGGTGGGGGGGACAGACGACCAGGGCAGCCGCTCCGCCCCTCTCCCCAGCAGCCAGCAGCCTGCATCTTCTGGAATGTTCTGGCCACAGTGGGCCTGGTGAGCGTCGGCTCGCTCCCACGGAGGACCCAGAGGTGGTCATGGCTGCTGGGAAGGTTGGGGGTCCAGCCAGGCCCACCACCGCTCCTGGGTGCAGTGCCCCGTGGTGGCACCCTGGCCCTGCAGGGACCGTCAGTGCCCAGGTCCCAGGGAGAAGCCCCCCACAGGGAGCCCACCAGACAGCCACTGGGCTGTGGCCACCCAGCACTGTGCTGCACAGGGACAGGGGAGACGAAGGCACAGTGCTGGACTCTCGGGTTGTGGCAGAGTAGCCGGTGGTCAGGACCACGGGAGACCCCGTGGCCCCAGCCCAGTGCGTCCCCGTCCCCTCTGCAGATCGCGGTGACGTTCGCCATCGTCCTAGGCGTCATCATCTACAGAATCTCCACGGCTGCGGCCCTGGCCATGAACTCCTCCCCCTCCGTGCGCTCCAACATCCGGGTCACCGTCACGGCCACTGCGGTCATCATCAACCTGGTGGTCATCATCCTGCTGGACGAGGTCTATGGCTGCATAGCCAGGTGGCTGACCACCATCGGTGAGGCCCACACCCGGGTTGTGCCTGCAGCGTGGCCGGGGCCAACCTGTCTGGAGCAGGGCTGAGCGCTGGCCCGGTGGTGCCTGCGGCCAGGTCAGCACGGCACTGTCCGTCTCTCCCAGAGGTCCCCAAGACGGAGAAGAGCTTCGAGGAGAGGCTGACCTTCAAGGCTTTCCTGCTCAAGTTCGTCAACTCCTACACGCCCATCTTCTACGTGGCCTTCTTCAAGGGCCGGTAGGGACCTCCACCTGCGGGTGGGAGGCCGCTGGGGCCAGCACATCGGGCAGTGTGGCCCCCGTGGCCACACATTCAGGAAAGGGCCACCTCTAGCTGGGCAGCAGAGCAGCGGGGACCCAGGCAGGGAGGTCCTCCAGCAGTGGGGACCCAGGCAGCGGGACCCCAGGCAGGGAGGTCCTCCAGGCAGCAGGGACCCAGGCAGCGGGACCCCAGGCAGCGGGGACCCCAGGCAGCGGGGACCCAGGCAACGGGGACCCCAGGCAGTGGGACCCCAGGCAGCGGGGACCCAGGCAGTGGGGACCCCAGGCAGCGGGGACCCCGGCAGCAGGCTCTGGCCTGGCTGGGGAGCGCAGCGCAGCGCGGTCACCCCTGGGGCCCTCCCCAGCAGGAGGCCCCGCTCTCTGAGCGCTCCCTGTTGCCCCAGGTTCGTGGGACGCCCGGGCGACTACGTGTACATCTTCCGCTCCTTCCGAATGGAAGAGGTGAGTGGGACTGTCCCAGCGCCCTCGCGGTGCCACCCCTGTGTGGGCTGGGGGACCAGGTGACGCGGGTCTGTCCAGCGGTGGGGACGGTCCCTTTCCACCTGGCTGGTGGCTTTGATCTTGGGTAGCGTGTCGGCACCAAGTGACCCTAAAAGGAGAAACTCAGCGCTAAAGAGCGCGAACCCCATCGGGGTTCCCGTTGGCCGCGGGCTCTTTGGCTCTTTGGTGAAGCTCTGGACGTTTCTGTCTCTGGCTAAAATGAGGAGAAACAGGCCTTGGCTCGTGTTCCCACCTTTACCCCAGACGCAGTGCCGGCCACCGGCTCTGGCGCCAGCCACCGCTGAGTCATGGCCTATGGACTTGCTCCACTGTGTCCCCAGCCAGCGGCTCCGTTGGGCCCAGCCGGGCTGTCAGGGGTCAGATCTCAGGGTAACTGGCCCACGTTCCCAGCTACAGAAGAACGCAGCTCGGCGAGAAAACAAGGGAGCGGGGCTTCCCGATAGAGACGCTGGGAAGCAGGGTGTGAGTGGGTGGACGTCAGGTGCAGGCTGATCTGGCTGTCTGGGTGCAGCCTGGAGGTCCTGCAGCCCGGGTGCAAGCCTGGACACCCGGGGCGGCCTAGCAGTCATGGGTATTTGCAAACAGTCTGTACGAGCCGTGCACCTTGGGCCTGGTGTTTTCTCTGTGTCCGTGGTACTTTATCAAGGGCCACGTGAGAGAAGTGGGGAGACGTGTTCCTACAGGAGAACCAAGTACAGGATGTGCTTCCCAGAATTCAAGGTCATCCAGGACACGTTTTTTGCTAATTAGATAAAAAGTTTTGCCCCAGGAGCCTGCAGAGGCATGGCCACTGAGGGGAGTGGCACTGGGCCTCAGCAGGTGACTGGCCGCCTGACCGGGTGGCTTTCCAGCCACCTGGGCCCAGCCTGTGCTGCTGCATGGCCTGTGGAGAGCTGGTGTCGGGGACTGGGCAGTGGCCCTGGGGGACGGAGGACCCTGGGTCCCAGCCCCCCRGGCCTTTGCAACGTGAGCCCCTGTCCAGCCTTCTCCCGGCCCCACGGCCTGCCTAGAGGGCAGGCCCAGCAGAGTGCCCCAGACGGGGCGGCCTGAGACACGGAGCTGTGCTGCCCGCTGTTCTGGAGGCCGAAGTCCCCGAGCAAGGCCTGGACAGGCCGCGCTCCCTCTGAAGCACGGGGAGGACCTGCCGTCCTCCCTCCAGCATCTGGGCTGCAGGAAGCCTGGGTGGTCTCTGCGCCACGCCCCAGGGTGCGCCTCCCTCCCCTGGTTCTCCTCCCGGGGGACGCCGGTCACGGGATGGGGCCCAGCCCGCCCCAGGACGGCCTTGTCTTCGTCTGACCCTTTTCCACTGGGGGGGGACCTGCTCAGTCTCACGGCACCGGGAGGCGCACGTGCCCCTGTGGAGGGCTGGGGTCCACCGTGGTGCGGAGCGCCTCCCTCCCTGCGGGGCGGCCTGCTGCGTCCAGGGCTGACCGGGCCTGTCCTGCAGTGTGCCCCGGGAGGCTGCCTCATGGAGCTGTGCATCCAGCTCAGCATCATCATGCTGGGGAAGCAGCTCATCCAGAACAACCTCTTCGAGATCGGCATCCCGTGAGTCCTCTCGTGGTGCCCAGACGACCGCACTGGGGCCGGGACGGGGGCACCAGAGCAGGAGGGTGGCCAGGGAGAGGGAGGAGGACAGGTGACCCTGCAGACTGTCCCCAAAACCTCAGTGCTGGCTCACCAGGTGTCCCAGGACTGCCCAGAGGCAGCCAGCCCTCTGGAGGGGCACCTTGGGCTTCTCTCCCCCACCAGTGTCCACGTGGGCACCGCCAAACTCTGCCTTGCCCATGTCCCTGCCACCTGCTGGGCCCTCCCCTGGCCTTCGGCCTTGGCTCTCCTGCCCCTCGGCTCCCCATGAGGCCACCCAGCCGTGTGTCCCAGGGGTGGGTGCAGAGCAGTGAGGTCCAGGCTTAGAGCAGAGAGCGGGCCAGAGCCCGGGGCCAGAGCCCGGGGCCACCCGCCGCCCGCCGCCCACCGCCCCGTCTCCCCAGGAAGATGAAGAAGTTCATCCGCTACCTGAAGCTGAGGCGGCAGAGCACGGCGGCCCCCGAGGAGCTCGTGAAGAGGCGGCAGCGCTACGAGGTGGACTACAACCTGGAGCCCTTCGCGGGCCTCACCCCCGAGTACATGGAGATGAGTGAGTGGGGGCTGGGGGTGGCCCCGCTGTCCCCTCCCCGGCACCTCGTCCTCTGGCAGGGGCCCCATCTTCTGAAGGCCGGGCCAGGCGGCTGCAGTGCCCAGGCGAGGTCCCGTGGGCACAGCCTCACGCAGAGGCCGGGCGGCGGTTCCTTGTCCCCGCCAGGCAGACACCCGGGCGGAGCCCAGTCAGCCCAGTCATGTCCCTCGCAGGATGAGAGAGGTGGCAGTTCACTCTCTGGGGGCTCAAAGGAGAGATGGGAAGAGGCCAGATGTGGCCTGCGTGGCCCCTGGAGCCTCCTGGCCCCACATCCTCCCTCTCCCTCTGCCTCCCTTCACTCTGGCCACACTGGCCTCCTTGTTCCCCAAACACCTAGCCAAGCCTGCCACGGGGCCCTGGCACCCGCTGTACCCTGGCTGGAGAGCCTCAGCCTGATGTCCTGGCCCTTCCTCGGAGACTGTGCCCAGAATGTTCCCCAGAGGGATCCTCCCTGACCATGGTCAAAGGGGCAGCACCCACCCACCAGCACAGGCAGGCCCCCCCACACTGCTGCAGATCCCCAGCAGATGACTGAGTCCCTCCTCCCTCCTGCTCTGTCTGCCTCCCGTGGAACGAAAGCCCCCTGAGGGCAGGACCCTCTTTACTGCTCATCACTCCTAGCCCGGCCCTGGGACAGGCTCCAGTATACAGCAGGGGCTCAATGTATGGTTTCCGAATGAACCAATGAGTACAGGCAGTCTGGAAGACTCACGTAGGGAGTCCCGAGGGCAGTGCCTGAGGCCGGAGGTGGCCGGTTCCCAGGCCGTGGTTGCCGGCCGTGGGGCTGCCCGGGACCCCGCCGTGTGCACCGTGCCCAGGGAGCGTGGCAGAGTGGGGACGAGCCCCGGGTGCACGGGGACTGTCCCACGGCCTCAGCTGGGAGGCTGCAGGGAACCTGGGCTGTTCCTCCACCCCAGTGCTCCTCCTGCTGGCCCCGAGGCTCCCCAGGCCACCAGCTGCCCCGCGGCTGCACAGAAGGCGCCTGGCCCCGACTCTGGAGGCGGGTCTGGGGGCTGCTGCGAGGCCCTCTCCCTTCTGCTGGAGGGAGATAAGCCGCCGGGCTGCTCCTTCCCCAGCGGCTGGGCCCTCGTGGGCCTCTGTGGGCCTTGGCCAGCAGATCTGGGCGCAAGGCCACCCTGCCTACAGGGTCAGGCCTGGGCTTCTGCGGGGACCTGGGCCACCAGAGGACRAGAAGCGCAGCCTGGGACAGGCCGAGATCCGGAGCACGTTGCCTTTCCCTGGCRGCTGGGGGCCTGGGCACCCAGGGTGGCCTCCCACACCCAACCAGACCACCTCAGACCACTGCTGTGCCCCTTCCTTCTCCGCATCCCCTCAGCCACCACCCGGTCCTCGAGGGGAGACTAGGCTGGGCCCCGGGGCAGGCAGAGGCCTCAGCGCCCCTTCACCCCTCCTCTTCCCATTAATGCCGAGGAGGCCGTGTTGTCAGGAGTGACCACAGCCCCCGGCCCACGCGCAAGGCCCACGTGCAAGGCCCACGTGCATGGCCCAGGTTATGCAGCTTATCTGGTGCCCATCACCTCCTGGGCAGGGGCGACCCATACAGCCCACCCCTGAGCGTGAGCTGAGGTCACCAGGACTGCCCAGGGACCGGGGCTCCCAGGTATCCCCTGCCCCGCCCACCCAGTGCTCACAATGCCCGCCCTCGGCCGGCCGGGCACACGGTGACACCTGCGGGCTTCCTTGTTTACCGCCTGGCACAGAGAGCCTTAGGCCAAGTCCTGCCGGGCAGTGCCCGACCTCTCCCTACTGGGTCCCCTGCAGCAGCCCTCCCGGGCCTTCCCCGGGAGCTCAGCCCCATCGGCTCCTGTACCAAGGCCACGGGAGCCCCAGAGCCAGTGCCCAGCGGGCGACCAGCACCGAGGCCGGGAGGCGGAGGCGGAGGCAGAGGCTGGCAGGGAGAAGGGGGCCGCCCTGCACCTGAGGCCCGGGCAGGGGTCACTTGGGCTCTGAGGACAGCAGTGGGGGCAGCCTCCCGACGCAGGGAGCCACTGCTGCGTCCTCCCCAGCTCAGGCACAGTGGACCTGCGGGGCTTTGTCCCGTGAGTGACCAGTGCCCACCTCCTGCCATCATCCAGTGTCCAGCATGGAGATCAGAGCAGCACGTGGACCTCAGTCCCCTCTGGTCCAGGGGTCCCTGGGGTCATGTGGTTCTGTCACAAGACCCCTCCAGGCAGCTGCAGTGGCCGGGGCAGGAGGTTCCTGGGAGTAATGGACTGGCACAGTGGGTCCGGCCACCCCGCTCCKCGTGCTGATGGCCCTGGCCCTCTCCAGTCATCCAGTTCGGCTTTGTCACCCTGTTTGTGGCATCCTTCCCGCTGGCCCCGCTGTTTGCCCTGCTGAACAACATCATTGAGATCCGGCTGGACGCCAAGAAGTTCATCACTGAGCTCCGGAGACCAGTGGCCGTCAGAGCCAAGGACATAGGTGAGCGGCTGCGGGACGGGCTGGGTCCTGGGGAGGGCGGTGGCCGTCAGAGCCAAGGACATAGGTGAGCGGCTGCGGGACAGGAGGGCGGGGGTCCTGGGGTGGCCGTTAGAGCCAAGGACATAGGTGAGCGGCTGCGGGACGGGCTGGGTCCTGGGGAGGGCGGTGGCCGTCAGAGCCAAGGACATAGGTGAGGGGCTGCGGGACAGGAGGGCGGGGGTCCTGGGGAGGGTGGTGGCCCGGGAGCTGGAGGCTCCTCACGGCCCCATCCTCCACCGTCTCCTAAGATGCTTGGCCTCCCGGGCACTGGGGAAGCGTGGGCGCCTCCAACCCACTGTCACCCACCCRGGAACCATGCCCGTCCCTGCATGACCCTCCACACAGGTCAAGGTCAAGTTCGCGGCTGGGGAGGCACGTGTCAGGTCCCCACAAAGAATGGCCACGTGGGCCGGGTCAGGGGTGGTGAGTGCCCATCCCCAGAGAGACGGGATGTCAGAGGAGGCAGGGACAGGTCAGGGGAGCCAGTCCTCGGGCTGCAGACCCCAGGCCCCCAGCCGCACCGCCACTCACCTGACCCTGCAGTGAGACGGGTCCTCCCCTGAGCACACAGGTGCCCAAATCGTCTCACCTTTGACAAACTCACGGAGAAGAGCGTCGCTGAGTCTTGAGACAAGCAGGATGGAGTTCCTCGGGGGATGCTATTTCTAATGTTGCCAAAATAAAGCTGGCACCGCGGTGACAGCCTGTGGGCRGGCGCTTGTCACCCACACGCCCTTGTAGAACCGCGGAGGGGCCCCTCCAGCCCTGGACGTCAGGCTCGTTCTCCATGGAGGACCCTCAGGTCGCGCTCTGCTCGGGGTTCTGTCCTGCAGTGGGTGGACARCCCCTTGGTCCACACTTTGGCCTCTGGTGACATGGCCACCCTCTGGTGTGGCCAACCCCCACCAGTGGTGACCTGATCCGTGGGTCCCCGCCTCCCGACTCCAGGATAACGTGGTCACTGCATCTCAGAAGGAACCGGCCACATGTTCAGTTCCCACACCCTCAGCTCGGCCATTGCTCCCGGGTCACCCGCAGCCCCCGTTAGTGCTGTGGGGTCTGTGCGAGACTTGGACCCCTGTAGGGCGGGAGATCAGCCAGGGGCACCCCTCGGAGCCCGGACACTGCGGCGCCCTAGTGCCACCTCGTCCGGATGGCGGGGACTCGGCAGACCGCCCCTCATGCTGACCACCCGAGACTGTGTCTACCTCAAGCCCTGTCAAAGGCCAGAAAGCGAACGTCCTAAACTTTGTGGTCCAAAAAGGCGATGGACGCCTCAAGTCTTGGAGCCACCGTTCCCCACGACGTCCCTTCCCGGGGCCCATGGGAAACAGGCTGGACTTGGCCACAGGTGGCGCCCGTCAGGAGCGCAGTAGGCTTGTCCCCAGGGCTCCTCAGCACCCCACCCTGAAGACCAAGAGCACTGTGTCCCAGGTGCACCGTGGGGTCCTCCCGGGAACCTCGGGAGGAAGCCTGAGCAGRTCCTGCCTGTCCCCACCCGGGGACACGAGACCCAGGGGATGACAGAGCTTCGCCAGAGAACTGGAGCCACAGCTGGCCTTGTGACCGACCGTCACACCAGAGGCCCAGAGAGGAGCCCTGGGTGCACCCTGGCCGTCCTGGGGACTCTGCAGCTCTGTCCCCCGTGAGGAACGCCCTTCCGGGCCACACTCCTCCCAGCAGTGCCCTCCCGCTGCCCGGGGCCCTGCTTTCCTTTTTCCCAGGGCTCCCCGGCCCACGGTGTGGGGTCCACACAGGGCACCCCCTGGCCAGGGCTGCAGACCTACCTCCAGGAGGCCGGGGGCTCCTCGCTGGCCCGCCCCACCCGGCCCTCCTGCCCACCGCTTCCTGTTGTCATGTATTTGGGCCTGTTGGGTGACCACCTGGGCTGACCACAGGCTGACCCTGGGTTGCCCAGGGACACCCTGAGCTCCGAGCCACCTCCCGGGGAGCCGAGCCCAGGGGTATCCCCCCCAGCACCCACCTGAGGTCTCAACAAGGGCCCGGACTCAGAGCCCAGAGGCCTGTGTTCTTCCTGGACCCAGAGCTACAAGCCCGTTTATGTGTCTCTTGAAACTTGGGAGCCCTGAGTGTTGTATCCCCAGCCTGAGGGGATCTGGTTGGGAGTGAATGCTCTTAAAGGGCTGAAGGGATGCGGCGGGTTCCCCAGGTGCAGAGAACAGAGCTGCGGCGCTCATCCCGGCCTGCAGAGGGCGCCACCCTGGGCCACAAGCTGTTGTCATGGAGACCTGTGGTCATGGAGACAGTGGTGCCCGCCACCTGGACCAGGGCTGAGGATCTTTCAGAAGCAGCAAGTCTGCATTTTTAAGTCATGGGCGAGGCTGATGGAGTGGGCATGCAGCTGGACGGTCCCACCAGCCCCTGCGCTGTCCGTTGGAAAGGGCTTTCTACGCTCAGGCCACTCGGCAAATGCTGACCTGATGGCGCTGACCTGTGGACTGGACGCGGGGTGAAGTCCAGGAGACGCGGGGTGCACTGTCCACAGCCTACCTGGGCCCCTTAGCGGCGGGTGCTGCTGTGTTCCCGCCCGTGACCAAGCGTGGTGACATCACGAGGAGGGCCCAGCCCCCGTGCCGTCCGGCTCACTGCCCCGTGGCCTCCTGCAGGGTGGGTAGCCTAGTGCCACCCCACAGGGCCCATGGCTGCTCCCCCTGTGCCATCAGGAAGCTAAACCGAGGGCCGCCCGCCAGGGGAAGCAGACGAGCCTTGGCGGGCGTCGCGTCTCCAGTGGGCTGTGGCCCAGCCTGAGGGCTGGAGGGGGCGGCAGGGAGTGGGACACTCTGTGCCCAGACTGCTGGCCACGTGTGGGCCTGGAGCACCCTGCCCATCACAGAGAGGACCAGGATGGCCCAGCCACTGGCCAGGCTGGGAGGGAGCCCTCTCGGCCCCTCACACGGTGACCTGAGCCCATGGGACATGAGAACCGTGACACTGAACTGTCTCTGCAGACCACCAGGGTGTACCCCAAAAACAGGAGCTGGGGCTGCCGAGCACGCGGCCCCCTGCAGCCTACGCCTGTCAAAGCCGCCTCCCACCTTCTTGTCCACTGGACAGTAACTGCCGGCATGGCCCGCCCAGCCTGTCCGAGAGGGCTGCTCAGAGGTGTCCAGCGCTGGCCCGGGACACGGACCTGGCCTGCTGGGGTGGAGTCGGAGAGCACCCTGGGTGGAGGCGCAGTGCCGGGCCCTGAGCGGGGGCCCTTCCTGGCTCATCTCCATGGGAGGCAGAGAACAGGGTGTCCCCCGCCCTGTTCTGTGGTCCTGTGGTCCATCTGGGACCTGGGGTGACAGAAGCAAGATGGTGTCCAGACGGGGACAGCTCATGCTGCAATGCTGCAGGGTCCTTGGCTATGATCCTCACCCCAAAGCCACTTCGGGCCTGTCCCTGACACCTGCACTGCCCGCGAGCCACAGATCCCAGCCCTGTTGGGTCCTGGCCTCGGGGTTGGCTGGGTGTGGCCCTGGCCCCGAGGGGCCCTGTGACAAGCACGTCTCTCAGAGGCCTCAGTGGCTCAGGGACAGTGGATGGCACCGGCACAGCATGGCCGGCCGTCCCTGGGCTCCCCGGCCTCCCAGACGGTGCCATTGCCACACGCGTCCCTCTGGGTGCCTTGGGGAGCCGGCGCCTGCGTGGCCGCCTGGGCGCTGCCTGTGGGGAGGGGTCTTGAGAGCCGGTTCCTCTTCCCCAGGCATCTGGTACAACATCCTCAGAGGCGTCGGGAAGCTGGCCGTCATCATCAACGTAAGTGACGCTGGGGACCTTGCACACCCAAGTCCTGCCCAGCCGCGGCAGGCCCTGCCCCCCCGAGGCTGAGCTGGGCCCCCACCCCCGGCTGCAGCCCTCGGCTCCTGGGACAGGGTAGCCTCTCTGGAGATGTCCCTGGATCTGGGGCTGGGGACTGTTTCCTGCAAACTTGCAGGGAGGKCCCCCCCGGCCCACCCTGCCCACCCTGCGCCCCGCACAGACCCGCCCCAGGGTCCTGAGAACAAAGGACCAAGAGGCAGCAGGGAGGCTCAGTGACTGAGACCCAAGATGGAGAGCCAGCAACCTCGCTGCTGCTTTGTGGGGCTGATCACACACACGCGCACGTACGCACACACACTCACGCGCACACACACGCACACTCATGCACGCACATTCACACACGCATGCACGCACACAGTCACACACGCACATGTGCGCACACCTGCGCACACACACGCTCATGCCCGCTCTTTAAAGAAGGCTGGGGGCAGCTGAGACTGGTGAGGGGAGAAGCCCCTGGGCGTCTCCCCAGCTGTGGACGTTGGTGCCCCTGGGCCTCCTCCTGGCGTGGTGGACCCTCCCTTCCCGGCACACGGTGTGCCCTCCTGGCTTCTCCCACAGAGCCGGCCTGTGGGTGCCGAGTGGCACCACCTGGGTCCCCGCAGTCCTCCCCTTGGCCTCCCGGGAGGTCGGCCGGACCCTGCCTGGGGATTCCCGTGCCCCAGGTCTAGCTCTGTCCCGCTGGCCAGCACCTGTCTCAAAACCCGAGACTGAATCCCGGGCACATGACCCAGGCAGCCACTGAGTGTCCACAGCAGAGGCGCCCAGGGCCCTCGTCCTGCACCCTGCAGCCAGTCTGCCCAGCAGCTGACACCTTGTGAGGGGGAGGGTGCTCCAGGAGCAGGGCCTAGGCCTCCATCCCCACCGGGCGGAGGCACTCTAGCCTCAGAGCCCGGCCTCCCTCCTGCCAGCCGGCTGCTCCCCAGATGGCAGCTTCGAGCCTTTGTTGAGGGGAGGTGAGCACAGGGCACACCGGTGGCTGTCTGTCCCACCTTGGCGAGTGAGCGCAGGGCCCGAGCTTAGGGCTCACCTTGATGGGGCTGGGACCCTGAGGTGCAGCCCGTGTGCTGGAGGGGGTGCTGTGAGCAGGTGAGGACACTGGACAAGTGTTAGCATCTACACTCAGTGGGCTACTAGAAATTTCCAGACCTCTGTTCTCTTTCCCATGCCCACCCACCAGTGCCCACACAGCCCCTGGAGGTGGGGACTATTAGGGCCTATCTGTCTTATAGGAAATACAGCGAGGGCACAGAGAGGGCAAGTGACTTCCCCAGAGCTACACAGCCTATCAGAGGCTGCTGGGCTTCGGGTCCTGCTCTTGGATTACCACGAGAGCAGGCCGTGACGGACTGAGCTGGGCAGAGTGGCACCCAGGAGGCGGGGGGCTGTGCTCAGGGGGTGTCCTCTTTAATAGGAACACAAGAGAGGCACGGAGAGGTTGGGGGATTTGCCACACAGTGGAAGGCAGGCAGCGTGCCCTTCCCTGTGCCCTCCTGCTGCGCCCAGGAGGCTGGCAGGGAGCCGACAGGGCACACCGACCCTCCTGGGGCCCTGCTCACCCGCTGTTCCCGGGCCAGGCCTTCGTGATCTCCTTCACGTCCGACTTCATCCCGCGCCTGGTGTACCTCTACATGTACAGCCAGAACGGGACCATGCACGGCTTCGTCAACCACACGCTCTCCTTCTTCAACGTCAGCGACTTCCAGAACGGCACAGCCCCCAGCGACCCCCTGGACCTGGGCTACGAGGTGCAGATATGCAGGTACCACTCCCAGCGGCTCTCTTTGAAGAGCCAGTTCAGGGGGTTTCTGGGAAACCCAGGTTTGAACCAGGACTCTTTCAGAAGCAAGTCACAGAACCACTCAAACTTGTTTAAAAACACATGCCTGGGGGACATTGGAAGGGGGCAATACACTAGTTAGCTATAATTAAGAGGTCCGTGATAGCTTCAGGTGTGGCTGGATCCAGGAGCTACAGTCTGCCATTAGGCCCCACACTGGCACAGCCTGCTGGATTTGCTTCCTCTGTGTCAGGGTCAGTTTCTGGCAGGCAGACACCCTCCACCAGCAGCTTCTGCCTTACATCTGTCTGCTCGCAGTCCCCACGGGGAGACCTGTTCCAATAGAAAGCCCTGGTGTGAGTCTTGCAGCCTGTCTTGGGCCACATGCCTATCCCTGAACAATAGCCATGGCCAGGGCTCCAGGACTCTCGCTGGCCAGGCCTGGAGAGGGGTGGCAGTCAGGAAATGGGGATCTTAAGGAAACCTGGGGTGTTGTGGCTTGAACAAGGCCCCCTAGGAGGGGCAGGGCAAAGCAGGGGCGTCTGGACAACAGGCTGCCGCTCTTGKTCTCCAGGTCAGGTGCTCAGGGCTCGAAGGGAGAGCAGCTCGGGATGACTGAGGCAGAGCCCAGATGCCCTGCACCAGTGCTGGGGACCTCAGTGCCCGCCCGGGGAGGGACAGAGGGTCCCAGAGGTAGCTTGGCCCCTCTCCTGCCCCTCCTCTGGGGCCTCCGCCTCCACCGCACRCCCCGGAGCTGGCTCTCCTGCCCCCGGCCGTTGAGCACATGGAAGGGGCTGGGAAGGACCGATGGGGCCCGTGGTGCTGGCAGTCACAGAATAAAATGGACATGCTTATCCCACGTGCCCCTGTCAAGGCAGGGCCTGTGCACTTGGGACCCCCCAGCTGGGTCTGCCAACCAGGGGACCATTTCCAGTTTCAAACACCYGCCCGCGCAGCTGCTTCTGGTGCACAGAGGCGGGTAACGCCCCACGGGCTCTTCAGCCACGCTGGGCCTGTGGACAGCCTTTCCCCAGGATCCTGGGAGGGCTGGGAGCAGGTGCCCAGCATCACCAGGGTCGGAGCCCATGCCGCGRGGCAGGGGAAAGATCAGATCCCGGGCTCAGCTTCCACAAAACGTCCACAAACCGTCAGAAAGCTGAGAGATTTCAAGGGGAGCCGTCTTTAGGCAGGCCTGTCTGTAGGCGTCCAGGGGACCTTAGTCACAAGGAAGTCCCAGGATGACTGGCACCAGCTCGCCACCTGCTGGCCTCCTCCAGAACTGCACYGGGGAGCTGGCAGCCAAGGAGGGCTCTGGGGACCCAGGCACCTGGGTGCAGGAGCTGACTGCAAAGGCTGGCCTCCTGGAGACTGCCAGGGCCACCCTGTCACAYGGCACAGCACCTCTTGTGTCCCCGTTGAGATCCCATGCCAGCCGACGCTCAACTCTAGTAGAAGCCCGCTCTAGGCCCGAGGCCTGGTTCACCCATTTCCGTAAGATCAGGCGAGGCGGGCAGCAAGCCAAGGAGGCCGATTTAAAAGGCCRCCGAGCGAGGCTTTTTTAGACTCACTGGATCAGTCCACAGAGTGGACAGGAGAGGGTCTGAGATTTTATGGGGCTCACGGCAGGAAGGCGGGGGGCTTGGGAAAGGAAAGAGGATTTTTAGGGTCCCTTGTCTGGCTGGAGTTGGTCAGGGAGCTGGCTGAACTCCAGGATCGGCCGGGGGTCCTGCTGATTGACAGGCGCTAGTCAGGAGATCTCGCTGATTGACAGGCGTTCCGGCCGGCGCCTGACTGATGTTTCTTTCCCTTGCGGGCTGCTTTGTTCTAAGTCACCGCCACCCACCTGACAACTTCTACAAACCGCTACGTGGATGACTGTTTGTGAGAAACTAGTAAGGGGGTGCACCTGGAGTGCCGGTTTCTTCCCGGCCAGTGGCACGTAAGATAGGGCAACAAGAAGACAGGGAGTTTATCCACGTGGACTCTTGCGACAGTCCTGACCGTGGTGAGGATTTCTGGAGAAGCTTAGCTAAGGTGTCTTTTGGGGGCCCTACAGACACAGGTCCCCACAGGCTCGGGGCATCTCCAGGTCTCTGTAGACGAGTTGGGACCGTGGTAGGGCCTCGGGGGACCTGTGTGGGGGCCGGCTCTCCCTGTGGGACACCCAGGGGCACTGTCTGAACCCGACCAGGCGGAKGGGGACACGTGTGACTCAGAGCTGCTGAGGGTTGTGCCCCCTGTTGGGGTGCTGGGCCGAACCCTCACTCCCTCGGCCTCAGAGGAGAAGTGGTTTCCAAACCGTGTTCCGTGGACACCTCCTGGAGTTTGGTGGAGGTCAAGGGTGGACTCGAGGGCAGGCCACCCCACTCCCACGTGGGGCCCTGAGGTTTCAGGAGAGATCACTTTTTTWAAAAAGGCTCAACTGTTCCCAAGTCTGGACACTTCTGAAGCAGAGGGACACGGAGCTTACCTCTGGAGGCCACAGCTGGGCCCACAGGGGCACATCCTCCAGCAGGCACAGACGCCCCAGGCCGTGAGCAAGGCCCCCCACCATCCCTCCCGAGCTGCCCAGAGCCCGCGCCACGCCTAAGACCTGCCTCCCCCGACAGGTACAAGGACTACCGCGAGCCCCCGTGGTCGGGACACAAGTACGACGTCTCCAAGGACTTCTGGGCCGTCCTGGCAGCCAGGCTGGCCTTCGTCATCGTCTTCCAGGTGTGTGGCCCTGTCCCCTGGAGGGTTGAGGAGSAGGCACTGGGAGAGGGCCCTGTGCCCACGGTCAATGCCAGGCTCTGGAGACCCCTCCAGGCAGGCGGAGATGCTGCTCTGGGACGCCCGAGAGGGACGCCCGGCCAGCCTCGGCACTCGCAGCCCCCCTGAGGGAACCGGGAGGGATGTGCGCCTGCAGGGCTCTGGGCCCAGCTGGGAGGGTGGGTGGTCCTGAGAGCCTGCAGGAAGGGGAGGCCGCACCCCGTCCTGCCTTGGTCTCCACATTTCAGCACAGTGGCCAGGAGACCAAGGGCTCTCATGACCCTACCCCCAGCAGTAAAGGGACCTGGCCCCTCCAGCCAGTCTCTGGGGAGGGGGACAGAGATGACCCCTGAGGCCAGAGGGCCGTGGAGCAGGCCCCAGACTGGGAGCAGCCAGAGGACTGGCGGCTAAGGTGGCACGGACGCCCCAAGACACGTGGGCACCTCTAAGACTCTAGCCACCTGCGTCCTCGTGGGAGGAYGGTCCGGCCAGGAAGGTGGTGGCCCAGAGCCCAGAAACAGGAAGCTCCAGACCTGGGTTCTGCCAGCCCTGCCCTCCACCTGCCCCAGGGTGGGCAGAACCTGCCCTCCACCTGCCCTCCACCTGCCCGAGGGGTGGGCAGTCCCTGCACTCCACCTGCCCCAGGGTGGGCAGTCCCTGCACTCCACCTGCCCCAGGGTGGGCAGTCCCTGCACTCCACCTGCCCCAGGGTGGGCAGTCCCTGCACTCCGAGCTCAGAGCCCGTCCCGCCAGAGCCCGGGGCCAGGGTTCCTGGCTGTGGGAGGCCCCTCAGGGAAGGGGCTGAGCAGGAGGCCTTGTGGCCACAGTGGGGGCTGCAGCTGCCAGAAGGGGGGCAGCTGTGGGCCACCGGCCTTGTCCCAACAGGGGCCACTTTCTCAGCTGGAGGGACATTCAACCAACAACAGGATTTCTGGTTTTTCACAAAAACCAACTTAACCCACATCCTAGTCTCCAAAACGTCCCATCCCAGGCAGCCAATGTCAGCCATGGTGACAGTGCAGGGCCGGGGTGCAGCAGAGCCCCTTCCCTAAGGCCCCCAACACTCACGGTTACATTTAGTGGCACGTGAGCCATTTGAAGCCTTCCAGCCGAGGCACCAGAGTTATTCAGGGAAGTTTTCAATCCATATTCACTCAAGAAAGTCCACCCAAGCGGGGCACAGTGGGGCACGGAGGTGCACGCCTGCAATCCCAGCAACTCAGGAGGCTGAGGCAGGAGRATCACAGGTTGGAGGCTAGCCTCAGCAATTTAGTGAGGCCCTGTCTCAAAAAGAATAGACGGGGATGTGGCTCAGTGGTCGAGCACCCCTGAGTCCAATTCCCAGTAACACCGCCCCCCAAGAAAAAAAGTTCCACAGGGATTCCTGGAGGGCCTGTGGGTAATTATTGCCTCACTTAGACCTTCTGGGAAACTGACACCCAGAGCAGCCAAGGGCTGTGCCCAGGCCAGGAGAACAGGGTGGGGCTCTGCCAGGTGGGAGCAGGGAGAGAGGTGGGGCAGGTGACAGGTAGGAGCAGGGAGAGGGGTGGGGCAGGTGACAGGTAGGAGCAGGGAGAGGGGTGGGGCAGGTGACAGGTAGGAGCAGGGAGAGGGGTGGGGCAGGTGACAGGTAGGAGCAGGGAGAGGGGTGGGGCAGGTGACAGGTAGGAGCAGGGAGAGGGGTGGGGCAGGTGACAGGTAGGAGCAGGGAGAGGGGTGGGGCAGGTGACAGGTAGGAGCAGGGAGAGGGGTGGGGCAGGTGACAGGTAGGAGCAGGGAGAGGGGTGGGGCAGGTGCACAGGAAGAGCAGAGAGTGGTCAGGCGGGGCGGACGGGTGGGGCGCCCTTCCCAGTGGCATCCTTCCCGCCCTGTGGTGACGGTCCCCCTTGCAGAACCTGGTCATGTTCATGAGTGACTTTGTGGACTGGGTGATCCCGGACATCCCCAAGGACATCAGCCAGCAGATCCACAAGGAGAAGGTGCTCATGGTGGAGCTGTTCATGAGGGAGGAGCAGGGCAAGCAGCAGCTTCTGGACACGTGGATGGAGAAGGACCGCGACGGCGAGGAGCCCTGCAACCACCACAGTGCCACGCCCCGCCCCGACGGCCCGGGCCCTGGCGGCGCGTACCGCGGGGGCATGCTGTAGCTGCGGCGCTGCGGGCGGCGGCTTCCCGACGGGGGCGCCTGGGGTGGGCGCACTTTGCCCCTCCAGGGCCCTGTGGCTCCCAGGAACATGGAGGGCCACTTTCTGATGGGACATTTTTCTCTCTTCTTTCTGTTTTTCTCCTGTTTTTGCACAAAGCCATTATGCAGGGATTTTTTTTATCGTTAGTATTCAAGGTGAACCCACGTGATGGCTGGTGGTGGGCAACAGCGGGCCAAGGCGGGCGCTTCGCAGGGCCCTCAGCAGGCCAGGGTCCCCTTCGCAGCAGGGAGAGAGCAGAGGCCCTAGAAATCATCTGTTCCTCTGACCGATGCCTTAAGACAGGTGAAAGATGGTCTCCACGGCCTCCGGCCCGAGCTGGAGCCAGGTTTGGGGAAGAACAGAGAGGCTGAGAGGGACTGTGGGCCGCAGGTCAGAGAAGCCCAGGACTGTGATCCCGACTCCTTCGGTGAGCACGGAAGCTGAGGCACTCTGCTCAGAGAGGTGCCTGGCCCTGGCCACACAGGGCATGGGGGCTCCCGTCCATCCTTGGAGCCCAGGGGTGCAGGTGTCCTGATTAAGCCATAGCTGACYGGCACCCCGGCGCCAGCCTCACACCCTGGGGTGCTGGGCTGACATCAGTCGATGTCCTTTTGTGAGATGAGACCAGGGTGACAGGGAGGTGGGCAGGGGAGATCACCTCCAAGGTGATCTGAAGGAGGTTCAAGGGCATCACCAAGTCCTAAGGCTTCTGAGAGTCACTCAAAGCTTTAGAATACTTCTTGGTTTTGTTTAGTTGTTTAAAACTAAACTGCGGGATGTGGAGGATTTTTTTTTTTCTGTAGCTCAAGGTGGAAGTTTATTAGTTAACCAAGTATCATTGAGAGGAATTTCAAATACTGTTACTACCAAAGATTTTTATTAATAAAGGCTTCTATTTTGGTAACATTTCTCTATATTTACTCACGGGAATGTCTCTGATGGACAATGATCATTTTAAAAGCTTGTAGATAAAAAAGTTCTCATAAATGATATGAGTGATCTAAATTTGCACTGGTTATACTAACCAATTATCTGAAATGTCTCAAGCACCAAGAAACAAAACGTTTCATCAAGGCCAAGGAGAAAATCTCCATGGTGTGTTTGAGCGTTTCCTGGTGGTGAAATTGACATTCCTGCAGTTGACTGGCGGTGATCGGAGCCCCTCCAGGGGACAGGTCTTCCTTATTTGCTAAAATCAAACTGATGCTTCTATTTTCTCTTGTACAGTAGGAGTTTCAGATGGAGTTTTTGTATATAAATATTGTGTTAAGAATTAGGTGACTACCAAAATTCCTTTTATGGAATCCATTTTTTAAAAAACTGAATGTACACAAATCCACAGAGGACTGTGGCTGAATATTCATTTAAATAAATTTGAAAACACAATGCTCTCCTTACTTGAGTGCTGCCTTCATGACCTGTGCCCCAGGACACTCCAGAGGCTCCCCAAAGTCGGTGACATGTCCTCRCTTGAGGCTGCACGTTTGGGTGTGATTGACCAGGAAGGTGTGTTTCCTGTGCAAGTTGTCCTAGGTGTTCCTGGGACTTCAGCTCCTGCGTGTGTGTCCGCGTGCGAGTGTGGCTGCTCATGTGCGTGCCCAGGCCTGTCTGTGCACACATGTGTGAGTGTGCACCCGCTGGCGTGTTTGTGGCCTTGCCTCTGCTGGACCCGGGCGTGCGCACACGTGCTCGCCCGCACTCTGGGCCTGCGTGCAGCGGCGCGCGTTTGCTTTCGTGGTCTCAGGCTTCGCACCGTGGAACCCACACACCTGCCAGCACTGAGTGCGCACGCACGTCCTGGTGTCCGCTCGCGGGAGGTGTCACGCCAGCTCACCAGGCTCTTGCGGGCTCCTGAATCCACAACCCAGCACTTTGGTACTTAACTCAGTTAAATTTCCCAAACCTTTTGGGGAGCCCCCTGGGATTGCCAGGGTACTCACGTGGGCAAGCGAGGACACTTTAAGCACCACCCGTGGCCACCATCATGCCAGTAAAGCCTGGCGACGCTTACCCCCAGCACCCGGGAGCCCCGGCCCCGCCGTGGCCTCCGGCGCCCCATAGTACCGGCGCGGAGCTCACGTCCAGCGCGCCACGGGGGAGGACACGCCAGGTGGGCACTTGCCAGGTAAGGCCGGGACGCAGCGCTCGGGGACACGGCCCTGCRCGGGGAGGGGAGCTGCCAACAGGCGCGCCCCTTCCCTCTGGGATGACCCTGCGGAGCGAGTCGGATGCTGGACCAGAAAACTAACCCTGGAACCGAAAGATTGGAGACCGAGGAAGGGATGCTCAGGACGAAGTGGCAAGGGCTCTGAGTGTCAAGAGAGTGGCCTAGTTGGTCAGCAAAGCCCTCACGACTGAGCAAAGAGGGGCCAGAAACAAAGCCCTCAGGTCTGACCTCCTGGGTTCCCCCAAAGARCCGGGTCAGGCAGAGGGAACTGTCGTGCAGAGGTCCTGAGGCAGAGAGTAGGTTCCAGGAGTGGGGGGTGCGGGTGGACAGGGCGTGCTGATCCGTGTGGCAGCGGGTGGAATAGGAACCGTGGGCCTGGCCGAGGGTTCGCTGCCTTGGCAGCTGTAAGGTGGCCCTTCAGCGGGAGGCAACTCGGAGAAATGTGTAGAGAAATGCAGGCCTGCAGGAGGGCCAGGGCAGAGAGACCTGGGACCTGGCCATGAAAAAGCTTCGGCCAGCCAGTGCCATCATTTTAGATGGGAACAGAGATGGCCAGGGCTCTGCTGCCCACATGGCTACATGACCTTCCTTCCGTCCAGACTCGGGCACCAAGGACCACTGGAGTCTCTACAGCGGGTCCTGGGGCCTCGTGGGTGGGAGGTAGGTCCCAAGGCCTGGACTAGCCCAGCTGCACACAGCCCCGGAAGAGGGATTGAGCCCCAAGGGTGGAGGCTGCTGCAGGAGGCCACCTCCCAAGGTGGGCTCAGCACTTGTTAATTTTTTTAATTTCCCACATATTTTTTAAAATCCAAGGAAATATACATCCAAAATCCAGATTCGCATGTTCTACTGAAAAGCCACCTGATTCTGCCCCCCTGCCATGGTGTCACTCTGGTATCTGACAGCTGTCCTCCAGCTGCCCCACTGCCACCCTCCCGCCCGCCGCCAGGCATGACTGTCCACAGGCTGGGGGACAGCTGGGGCTGGCCCTCCTGGAGTCACCGGCCTTGCTACATAAGCCTTGGGCCAAGGTCCCGGTCCTTGGTTCAGGACCAGCTGTGAGAATCCCTGGAACACCTTAGCCAAGGTCTGTGCCTGGAACAGGGCAGTCCCCACCTAAGGCCGAGATCAGAGCCTGCCCCACACACCCCTACTCCCAYATACACTCATCTACAGGTCTCCAGGAACCACGCCTGAGTCCCTAAAATGACCCCACCACAGGGGGTCTGTCACCATGCATCAGACAGTACTCGTGTACCTGTCCACGTTGTGTGGACACCACAGGAAAAAAGGAGAATGAACACTTGACAGGCCAGGAGGGGGCACCTGGTACAGTGCCAGGCACAGGCAGGGCCAGGAAGTGCTGGGTGAATAGGGAGGGAGCAGGTGATGGGTGAATGGGTGGGTGGGCGGGTGGATGGGCAGACCAGCAGTGGGTGGGGGTGGAGGGATGACAGATGGATAGGGGATAGCTGGAGGATGGGTGGGTGGACAGATGGATGGACAGGTGGGTAGATGGATGGATGAGTGGATGGGTGGATAGATAGATGGATGGGTGGATGGACAGGTGGATGGATGGATGGATAGATGGATAGATGGATGGGTGGATGGGTGGATGGATGAATGGGTGGATGGGTGGATAGATACATGGATGGGTGGATGGACAGGTGGATGGGTGGATGGGTAGATGGACAGGTGGATGGATAGGTGGATGGATGGATAGATGGATAGATGGGTGGGTGGGTGGATGGCTAGATGGGTGGATAGATGGATGGATGGACAGATGGATGAGTGGATGGATGAATGGGTGGATGGACAGGTGATGGATGGATGGGTGGGTGAATGGGTGGGTAGCTGGAGGATGGGTGGATGGGTGGAGGGGGGATGGGTGGATGGATGTATGGGTGGGTAGATGGGTAGATGGGTGCATGGATGGGTGGATGGGTGGATGGATGGATGGATGGACGGGTGAAAGGCAGACAGACTGGCAATTTGACCTTCCGCCCTTCAGCTGAGTGGACCTCAGGCTCAAGCTAGCCCACGAGCCAATGGAAGGAGCATGGGGGCACGTGGAGGGCTAGCTCCATGCTCACACAGCCCTGCTCGTCACAGCCTGTGGAGAAGGGGGTGTCTGGAAGCCCTGGAAGCCCTGCCTGGGCCAGCACAGGCTCCTTCGGGGTCTCCAGGTGGGACGGTGCGTGCTGCCCCTGCCAGAAGCCTGCCGGGAAGGCGGCCACAGGCAAAGGATGTGTCCAGCAGGCGCTCAGGTCTGACCCCCTCGGTCCCACCAAGGAACTGACTCTGCGGTGTTTGTTCCCCGCTTTCCTCCCCCTCCCCTCCCCTCTTCCCTCTGTCTCCCCCTCACACTTTATCGGTGAGTACAGCAGTCACCAGAGTGTGGCAATTAACTTCTCTGCAACGCAGCGTCTGCAGCCGGGACTGAAACAGACCGCCGGGGTCCAGAGGTGTCTGCCCTCCCTGTCCCTCCCAGTCACCCCCATGCTGATGTCCAGGGAAGAAACGACCTTGCCTGCTTCTTCCTGCTGGTGGCTGCTGCCCCCTGCTGGCAACCTCGGGAGCTGCTCTTGGGGAGGGACGAGGAGTCGGCAAAGGACCACAAACCCCACAGCTTAAGACAACCCAAAAGCATTACCCTGCGGCTCCGTGGCTGGGATGTCCCGCGTGGGCCTCGCTGGGCTAAAGTCAAGGTGTCAGCAGGGCTGGTTTCCCTGAAGGTCCAGGGTGCAGCCTGTGCCTAGCCTTGCCCAGCTGCGGGGAAGCCCCTCCAACAAAAACCAAAATACTTTTGAAGGAAACGGAGGATTGAGGATCCGTGGATTCTGGAGGCAGTCCCTCTGCAGGAACCAGAGAGACCAAAGCAAACAGAGAAAGAGGCAGGAAGGTCACCCTGGGAGGGGCTGAGGCGGAACGGGGGAACCCGGAAAGGGAGACGCCCGCAAGGTGCTCGCTCTCCTGTCTGCCTTTCTTGGAAAGGCACCAAGTGAGAGAAAAATACACAAACACAACCGTCAAAATCGCGATGTGCAGGCCGGGGCGGAGACCTCTGTGGGGCAGCTTGTGAGTGGCCTTCAGTGACTCACGAGCCCCGAGCCCTATAAAAGTCCCCTCTGCACAGGGTCCACACACTGGAACCACCAGTCCCCCCAGGCTGGAAGGAACCTCACCTCAACCTGCACCTTACCTTAAAGACCAACGTAAAGGGGGTCATGGATTTACGCAATTATACCAGAAAATAGAAAAAAAATGTGGGGGTCTAAGGTTAGGCAAAGAGATCTGAAACTTGCTACCACAATCCATAATGGGAAACAGCAATCAGTCAGACCTTGTCAAAACAGGGAACTTGCACTGTGGAAAGCCACCGGGAAGACAGAGCCGAGCCACAGAGGTGGAGGCCGGGGGGCCGACTGAGGAAGGAGTGTGCCAACAGAGCCCCATCACAGTCCTAGCCTGCAGCTTGTTTGAAAATGTCTTTGAGCGTTGCTTAAAGGCCAGCTGGGTGCTTGGAGCCTCTCCCCTCACAAGAGGCTCCTGGTTCACCTGCTGCCTCCCAAGGCTCGCTCTCAGCCTCCTTCCCCCACTCTTCCACGTCCCACTGCCCCTTAGTGGTGGACACCCTGGACCGAGCCACAGGCCAGTTTCTCTGCCTCTCTCATGGATGACCTGATTCTGTAGGTGCTTAAAATACCATTTATCTGCAGAGGACTCCCAAAATTCAATCTCTGGCCCAGATCTCTGTCCTAACGCTTGACCTGGGCAGCCCCTGCCCAACAGCTCTACCGAAAGGTCTAATAGGCACCTTGTGCCCCTAACCAGCCCTTGCTCTTCCTCCAAGCCTGCCCCACCCCACCCCTTCCCTGCTTCAGTCCAGGAAGGCACCAGCCTTCAAACCCAGCAAAGCCTCCTACTTCCTCTTGGTTGCACCCCTGCCCCAAGTGCAAAGAAGACTGGCTGCTGCGTTCTCAAGCTCCTGCTGTGCCTGCACCCCCTGGTCCGGGCACCCGCATCTTTGGTGGGGGTGATTGCAGAGTGTCTTGACTTCTACTGGCTGATCAGAGGGACTCTGTAAAGACGTAATTCAGTGTTCAAAATCCAAAAAGTGGCCAGGCACGGTGGCACACACCTGCGGCTCGGGAGGCTGAGGCAGGAGGATGGTGAGCTCAAAGCCAGCCTCAGCAAAAGYGAGGTGCTAAGCAACTCAGTGAGACCCTGTCTCTAAATAAAATACAAAATTGGGCTGGGGATGTGCTCAGTGGTCAGGGCCCCTGAGTTCAATCCCCAGTACCCCCTCCAAAAAAAAAAAAATAGCCAAAAAGTGGAAACAAATTAAATCTTCCCCTGAGAGAAATTGTGACTGAGCATGAGTTCAGCCTGGAGAAGGAGGTTCTAAGCTGAACCCGGAAACAGCTGGTCCTCTACCACCAGCAGGCAGATTTACAGACAGAAAGGTCAGCGGTGCTGGGCTGGAGCAGGGAGGGCCCCTGACAGAAAGTGCCGGAGGGGTTCCTGCTGGTGATGGAAATGCTCCAGGATTAGACCACAAGGAACACCTTGAGCCGAACCCTCCCAAGGGGTGAACTCTATGACCTGGATTTTAACCCCACTCAGAAAACGTCAGGGTAACTCAGTTGGTCTCGCCCCTCTGTCCACACTCTGCAGGGAAACTGAGTCCTGGGCCAAGGCCCCTCCTCACTGACACCCTCCTGGCGCCCACCACCTCTCCCCACAAGGCCTGCCTCTTGCTGCTCCTGGGACCTCAGCCCTGTCCCCCTTGGCCCGTGTCCCACAGGGAGGYCCCCTCTGCCCGCTGGCCACCGTTCTCTCCGGTGGCATTGGGAATGGACACCTAGTATCGGCATGTTTCCGGGGTCCGCTGCGCTCGCTGGCACCTGGAATGGGTGCTCAGAGCAGGGCGACACCTGTGTTGGCTTGTCGCTGGGATGAGGACACTGCACCTCCTCTCTTGTCATTTCTAACCACAGCCACCCCATGTGCAAACACCGCCCGATTGCCTCCCTGGTCCTCAGCTGACCTGGTGCTAGGACAAACCTTTCCCCAGCCCCGACAGAAGGCCTCAGGGATGCTCTCGTGAGTAGCCCTACCTTCAAACCAAAGAAACCGCTCAGTAGTGTTCTTTGGGTTTTCCCCCCCACACAGATGTCCCCCGGATCCCTCCAGAACGCACTTCCAAGCTCGGTGAATGTTGGTGTAGAACGGTAACAGGTCTGACGTGACGTGGCCTAGCAACCCTACACCCGGGGCTCGCGGTTGCCGTCCCAGCACACGGCAGGGCTGCGCCGCGCTCGGCAAACCCACCACCTCCCAGACTTGCCCGCGCAGGCTCTCAGGGACCCACAGCCACCCGCAGGGCGCAGGCGCAGAGGCCGCCGCCAGCCCAGGCGGAAAAGGCTTCGGCGCGCGCCCTACGCCTGCGCCAAGCCTAGAGCTCTCGCGAGAAGTTGAGCCGGAAGACTGACGGCGACTTCCGGGTTCGGATCGGAAACCCGAGTGCCGGGGGCTGGGTGGGCGCGGGGCGTGCAGGCTGCTCGCCGGCGCCGCCATGGACCCCTTCCGGGTGCTGCTGCACTCGGTGTCGGCCGACCTGTCCAGCGGCGAGCTGACCGAGCTCAAGTTCCTGTGCCAGGGGCTAGTGGGCAAGAGGAAGCTGGAGCGCGTGCAGCGCGGCCACGAGCTCTTCGAGGTGCTGCTGGAGCAGAAGGACCTGGAGGCCGAGCACACCGGGCTGCTGCGCGACCTGCTGGCCTCGCTGCGGCGCCACGACCTGCTGCAGCGCCTGGACGACTTCGAGGCGGGGGCGGCGGCGGGGGCCGCGCAGGAGGAGGCAGGTGAGCGCCGGGGCCCCGCCGCGGGCGCAGGGCCGGTTCGCCCCTCAGTGGACTCCAAGTCTCTTGGCTCCTGCTCTTTGCCAGGTGTTCTGGGAACCACTCTGGGGCAGGGGTGGCAGATGGGCAAACCCAAACCCAGAGAAGTCAGCCCACCCGAGGTTGCAGGGCCTAGATGCCCACCCCTGGCCTGCAGTGTTTTCCCCACCCCACTTTTTCCAGGTGAATTAGAAAACTCACTGAAGAAAAAGGACCGTGAGTGACCGGGTGGGGTAGAGTGGAGAAAATGGGCAGAGGTCAGATAGCCTGCTGCATCCGGTCGTCCGCCTCCGGCACGGTGCCCCGCTGACCCCCTTCCTGGCCGTGGGAGACCAACACCACCCCTTGGTAGCTCTGACCCAGTGTTCCCACGTGCCACCGACGGCACACTTGACTTGTTCGTTTGTGAGTTAGATACTCTTATTTCCCATCTTTCTAGCCATCTTTCAGAGGAGAGGACAGTGGCTCACAAGTGTAAGTTCTTGCCTAAATGCACAGCTGACAGCAGATCTGGGATGCACCTAAGGCCGTCTGGCCTGGGGTGGGAGGTGCAGGCTGAAGTCTGAAACTGAAACTGGAAGTGCTGTGAGAGCCAAAATGTTTTGAGAAGCCACAAATGGAAATTTTCATGCACAAAGTTATTTACAATGTTGTATAGAGTTACCTTCAGGTTTACATACGAAGCATAGATATGAAAACAAGAATTTCATGTGTGTACTTGGGTCTTCCCCAAGATACCTCATGACACTTACGCAGGTACTCAGAAATCAGATAAGGTTTTTGCCCTACACCGCCTTTTCAAAGGAGTCCGCTCTGAGCAGCCCCTCTCCATTCTCCCCTTTGGCTTGCTGGGGTGCCAGGAGTAAGAGACCAGTGTATACCTAGGGTCCCTCAGCCCCTGAGCCTGGGAGTTTAGTGCTTCAGGGACACCCTGCAGACTACAGGCTGTGGCCTGGAATCAACGGATCAGTCAGTCTGCCTGACAGTGCGTAAACAGGTGACACTGTGGTTGCGGTGCGCTGCACTGCACTGTCGAGGGCTATCGGTTAGAATTTCATACACACACAGTGTTGGACAAACAGAAAGGATCAGAAAAAATGATGTTTTCAAGGATATTTAGCAATGAGGAAAGTGTTGATAAAGGACAGCCTCAAAAATAGACTCGGTACCTTTTTAGATGACACGTATGTGTCTGTGTTTGATGTTAACTGTAGTCTTGTAATTACTGTGTTGGAGGAAACATACCAGGTCGACAGCAGTTCAGAGTGGGTTGATGCTGTGTGTGGTRCACTTTTTCCTACAAAAGGCAGTTTAACATCATGGACTCTGGCACAGGGTGACAGGGTTTTGAACTGCAGCTCAGTCAGTTTCTAGCTGTGTGACATCAAGATATTCACTTAACATCCCTGTGCCTTAGTTCCTCGTCTTTCCAAATGATCACAGCAACAAGTGCTTTCAGGGGGCTGGAGGAGTGGGCTCACCTGCTGACAGTGAGAGCAGCTGTCTGGTACCCTCCCGCACTGCCTTGTCCTGCCTGCTCCCCTACGCACACACTCCTGAAGCTGCTTATTGGGCTCATAGCGCTCTGCTTTCTGATCTCAGTAGTGGCTTTGCAGCAGGGAGTGGAGTAGCCAGGGACCAAAGTCTAGTGGTCAGTTGGTGTAGCTTCCAAAATAAGAACTAGGGTGTGCACTGTTGTCCCGGGACTGCCATGACAAATTTCACAAGCTTGGAGGGTTAAACTGTAGGAATCTATTATCATGTAATCTGGAGGCCAGAAATCTGCAAAGGTCAGGTGTCGGCAGGGGTCACCCTTGCCTCTCCCAACTTTGGGTGACCCGTCCCTCCTTGCCTCTCCCAACTTTGGGTGACTCCCAGCATCTTTAATCTGTGGCCGCGTCCCTCCAGCTCTCCCTGCATGGTCACTAGATGTAGGGCCCACCCAGATACTCCAGGTGAACTCCTCTCAAGATGTTCCCTTACATCTGCAAGGATCTTTTTTTCCAAATAACATTTTCAATTCCAGGGACTTGAGTAGACATAGCTTCAGGAGATTGCCCTTGGACTCGCTGCAGATTAGGACTGGGAACAGCCCYACTCTCTTCCCAGCTCTCCGCCCCTCAGTTCCCCTGTCCTAAGCAGGCAGCTCACTGAGTCCCACGGGGGCTGCCTTGGGAATTGAGGTCCATCTCAGGCTCTCTGTGACAGTCCCTGAGCTTCTCGGTGGCTTTCACCTCCGTGCAGGCCTTGTGTGTAGGTGATCTGCCTGCTCAGAACTCGGGTCAGCCCAGGGAATCCTGTGGGGGTCAGGGGTGCTCCCCAAACCTCCAGTGAGTCTTGTTCTTTCCCCCCAGATCTGCACGCTGCCTTCAGCATCATATGTGATAATGTGGGGAAAGACTGGAGGAGACTGGCTCGTCACCTTGGAGTTTCTGACGCCAAGATCGATGGAATTGAGGAGCGATACCCCCGCAACCTGGCAGAGCGGGTGCGGGAGTCGCTGAGAGTGTGGAAGAGCAGCGAGCGGGAGAAGGCCACAGTGGCCGGCTTGGTCGAGGCGCTCAGGGCCTGTCGGATGAACCTGGTGGCCGACCTCGTGGAGGAGGAGCAGCTGGCCCGGCGGCTGCAAAACGGGAGTGACGCTGTGTCCCCAGTGCAGTGGGACTCAGACGCTCACACCTCAGAAGCTCCTTGATGGGGCTGCCGTTCTCCTTGGGGACCATGGGAGGGACTTGATTCTCTGTACCATGCCCAGCACTGGGCAGTCCCATCAGGAGCCAGGCAGAGGGCTCCCCCTCAGAGCCATGCTGCAGCTTCACAGTTAAAGCTGCGTTTCCTGAGCCCCTCCTCTGCCAGGCAGAGCCTGGAGTGCGGGTGAGGGAGGGGGCTTCTGTATCTTCACTCAGTGAACGCCAACCAGAGACTCGCAGCTTTGGGCACAAAGGCACTCGTTCAGATTGAGTCCTACCTGTTCTTCAGGTGAGGAAACGGGTTAGAGGGAGGTCAGAACCGGGACAGCGCATCTGGCTCCGGAGAAGGGCCTTCTAACCAGCGTGTCCCACTGTGACTCCACCGTGGACAAAAGGCACATTTTGTCCCATTCTTTGAGGCGACAGGGTAGACCTGGACACCAGCACGAGGTGCTGTCCTGGTCCAGGAGTCAGGACACCTGGCTGACTCACAGAGCGGCAACAGCAGGGCCGTGAGGGTGACCACAGTGACGCCTGTGGAGTGCTCCCAGGAACGTGCACAGCCGAGCTCCGCCAAGTCAGTTCTCGTGAGGAGCCGGTTCCCGGGTCGCAGGTGGCTGTTCTGTGTCAGAATTACCATCCAGGCGGTCATGGCCTAGCAAGGGGCAAGACCCTGGACCTCCAGAGCCCTCCACTGAAGCCAGTGCCTTTACCTGGAGCCCTCCAGGTGCCTCTGGAAACCAGTTAGGTCAAGAGCCTGTTTCCTGAAGAGGTCACGTCACAAAGAACTCCCACTCCCGACGATGACTTTCTCACGTCACGTATTCTGAGGGGGTCRGTCCAGCTCGTGTCAGCAGCTCGTCCTGGGCTCTCCCTGTGGAAATGGCGGCAGGATTATCTCATAGCTCACTCACCACTAGCCAGAGTATTGACCTAAGCCAAAGGTGATCTGCAGAAGGCAGGTCTGCCACCTGTGGGACCTGCCTGTGCCTGCCAGGCATGGTTATGGTTCTGGAATGTTCCCCAGGAGCTCCCACGTTGAAGACTGTTAGCAGTGCCCAGGAGTGGTGCTTTTACCAGGAATGGGTCGGCCAGGCGTGTGGCGCAGGCCTGTCATCCCAGGGACTTGGGCGGCGGAGGCAGGGTTGGAAGCTTGAGACCAGCCTCAGCAACTGAGCAAGGCTCGAAGTGACCGAGGAAGACCCTGTCTTGAACTCAAAGGGTAGGGATGCGACCTGGTGGTTAAGAACCCCGAGTTTGAGACCCAGCACCAAAAAAGAAAAGTGGCACGGATCACGTGGCTTTAACCTCACCAGTGGATTCACCCGTTTAGCGTGTCTAATGGTTGAGGTGTGAAGTGCCCCCAAGCTCCTACGTGAGACAGTGCAGGGAAGTTCAGAGGTGAAATGCACCTAGTCAGTGTGTTGATCCCCTGATAAGGGTTGACTGGGTGGTGACTGTGAGCGGGTCGGGTGTGACAGGACAGGTGGGTCCCTCGAGGTGGGCTTCTGGTTGGTCCTTGGTGAAAGAACTTTCTCTCTGCTTCCTGACTGTCCTCTCCTGAGCCGCCTTCCTCCACCACACTCTTCCACCACGATGTCCTGCCTCACCTCCGCCCAAAGCAGTGGAGTCCGCTGTCTATGGACTGACACCTCCTAAACCGTGAGTGCCAAATAAACTTTTCTTCCTCTAAAATCGTTCTCGTCCCGTCTTTTGGTCGCAGGGCAAAAAAGCTGGACTGAAACACGTTGGTACCGAGAAATGGGTTGTTGCTGTGATTAATGGTTCAGAAGCTTTGGAGCTTTTTGGAATTTGTGGGAGCAATTTGAACAGTTTAGAGATGCAAACTGGAGAAGTTTTAGATTGTTGTAAGCCAGGCTCAATATGCGATTCTGGTGGGAGCTCAGAAAACCAGGATGCCAAGAGGCTGCAGGCAGTGAGCCTGCTCAGGAGGCCTCAGAGCAGGAGGAGGACTCTTGGAAATGGGTCTAGAGACCGTTCACAGGACGCCCTGGCTAGGAAGACATCAGCCTGTGTTCCATGTCCTGAGACTTGGTGAGGTTGAATTCAGTCTGGCAGTAGAAATCTCTAGGCAGCACAGCTTTCGTGTGGAGGCGTGGGTATTGTCGGCAGCTTCTAGCAAGTTTATTGTGAGAATCGGGAACAGAAAGCAAAAAGATTTTAAAAACTTGCAATTTGGCCAGAAAACTTTGAGTAAAACCGAGGTCAAGGAAGGTGTGGTGTTGAACACAATACAGCCGCTAAACACTAAATATTTTACCTAGAAATACTAGGAAAGATGGTTCGAGGGCATCTTAGGAACTGGCAAGATATCACCCATCTGAGGCTCAAGGGTGTAAGAATAAAAATTCCTTTGTTTTGAGACCAGTGGACACCCTGCCTGTACAGGGGCCCTGGGAAGTTTTTCAGCATGCCCAGCCCCCCAGCACTCATGCTGCTGCCGCCAGGATCCCCGGAGGCTTGGCTGCTGCTCGAGGTGGTGGCAGACCTTGGTGTCAGCACGGGGTGCTGGTTCTGCAGGATGCAGGATGCTAGCGTTGGGGTCCTGCAGGCTTCTGCTGAGCTAGCACGTGGGAGGCCAGGCAAGGTGCTGAGGTCAGAGCCCTGTCACTGAGCAGGGACGAGAGGGAGGCTGTGGAAGTGAAGCCAGCGCTGCAGTGAGGACCCCAGGGTAGGCCAGGAGTGGGGACTGTCTACTGAGAAAAGCTGCAGGCAGTGGATAGAGGCAGCCCAGAGGGTCCCCACAGGCTGCGCCTGCTAAGGCCAGGAGCCGCGCCGCACTGGCCCTGTGGAGCCCACATCCTGCCGCCACATGCCTGGGTGCCAGGCGTGGACTCCAGGGACTCGCTTGGTCCCCATCTCTCTGCATCCTCACTCTTTTCTTTGCCATTGTGTATGGGGAGCATTTGACACACTTTTGATTTTTTTTTTTTTTTACAGGCTCACAGCCAGGAGTTTGCCTTAAATCTCCGAGATGCTGAAACTATTAAGAGTGGGGATTCACCAGATGTCGGGGTGCACACCTACAATCCCAGCAGCTTGGGAGGCTGAGGCAGGAGTAGTGCAAGTTCGAGGCCAACCTCAGCAATTTAGGGAGGCCTTAAGTAGTTTAATGAGACCCTGTCTTACAAAAAAAAAATCAAAAAGGGCTGGGGATGTGGCTTAGTGCTGAAGTGCCCTGGATTAATCCCTGGTCCTAAAAAGAAAAAATAAAGCAAAAAGACCTAGGATTCATGGGAGTAGACTGACGTTRCGTTGTGGGGTGAGCGTGCCCTGTTTTTCAGGGCAGGGAGAGTGTTACAGTCTGAACCTCACTAGGTTGCTAAGGCTGACCTCAAACTTGGAATCCTCCTGCCTCAGCCTCCCAAGTCACCAGTATGACGGGCATGCGCCCTGTGCCTGGCCTCGGAGACGGTGTCCGTCCCTGGCCCCTTGCTCTCGATTGCTCCCTCCTGCCTCCCTCCCCGCTGCCCGGAGCTGAGAGCTTTCCCCCACTGTGCCCTCCCGCCATGGTGTTCCCTGGGGGGCAGGTGTTGGGTCATCATGGTAAAAAGCTGACGGACACAGGTGGTGCACCCTGCGGTCGCGCAGTCAGTGAGACCCTGTCTCAGGACTGAAAGGTGGGAGCACCCCGGGCATAGTGCAAAAAATTTTAAGAAGCTGAGTGGCCATTCTTTGTCCCAGTTGTCCATGTATGACCTTGGGGAAGCCACATGTGCCATGCCGTGCCACCTTGGCTTTGGAGGGCTGAGATCTCAGCCAGGGTCCTGCCCCACTAAGCTCTGGGCTCCTGCCCTTGCCCTCTGGGCCTCCCAGGATGCAGTTAGCCCAGGGGAGGAGCAGGACTTTGGAGCAGATCCAGGCTCCCTCCTGGCCTTTGGTGACCTGTCTTGTGACTTGACTCCACCCAGGATGAGGCGTAAGGTGAGTCCCCACACTCAGGTCCTCTGCTGGGCCACGCTGCTGTCCACACTCCCAGGACGGGGAGGAGATGGGCCAGCTCCTGGCAGCAGAGCAGGGAGCTTAGTGACCTGGGGCAGGCTTGCAGAAGACACTGCCCAGGAGGTGGGACTTGGAGCCAGACGGGAGCTTCCCCTTGTGCAGCCACCACCACTGGGTGCTGCAGACACAAGGCTGCACTGAAGGTAGCTGGGCACTAGTCCCCCGGAGGGCGAGTGTTAGGCCCATGTGGCTCTGTGGCAGAGGCTGGCCTGCCTGCCAGAGGCCAAGGGTCCCTCTCCAGAACGGACAGGGAAGCCTGGGAGAGTGTTGACGGGTGACGCTGCCTGCTGCGTTCTCATTCTCTAGAGTGTGCACCACAGGTGGAGAAATCGGTGGCACCTGGCCGGTGTGGGATGGGAGCCATGGCCTGTGGTCTGGCCCGGTTCAGGTCCAGGCTCTGCCCTCGGGGGTCCTAAAGGGCCGGCAGTAAATAGCAGTTGCTTCCCACAATCTGTACGCCTCGTTTCTCAGACACCTTAAAAACGAGGGGTTGGGGGGGCTGGGTTGTGGCTCAGCGGTGGCACTTGTCTTCCTGTATGAGGCGCTGGGTTCCATCCTCAGTGCCACATAAGGATAATAAAATAAAGGTACTGTGTCCATCTACAACTAAAAAAAAAATAATAAAATGAGCAGCAGGTTCTCCCCTGACCCCCGTGGTCAGCCTGGGCAGCTCTGCCTGGTTCTTCAGCCCGAGTCCCCCTCCGTCTGCACCAGCCTCTGACCCACCTGCCACCGTGGCTCTTGTGATTACTTTGAGCATCTGAGTGGCCCAGGATCCTCTCCCCATTTCCACATCCATGACTTTACCCTGTCCCATCAGGCCCTGCTCACAGGCTGGGGACTGGAGCCTGGGCATCGCTGGGGGCCACCAGGCCTCCAACTCCGCCCCTCCCCCCAGTGCCCAGCCTGTCCCCGACCCCGACCTCACCTGCTGCCACACAGGCCTTCCTCTCCTTGGGCTCACTCACTTCCCCCTTGGCAGCAGGGACCCTGGACCTGTCCTCATGGTGGCCTTCCCACCTCTCCTGTCCCCACCACCACCCGGTTCCCAGCAGGGCCTCACCCCTACTCCACCGTCTTGGGGAGGGGCCTCCTAACCCTTCTCCAGTCTCTGCTGCCCTCCTCGATTCCCGCTCATCCCCTCTGGTGGCCAGGACGCAGACCCCTGCCTCGTTCCTGGAAGCCCCCGGCTTCCCCTGCACATTCTAGCTTCATGTTCCTCTTCCCACGGTCACTGCCGAGCCTTCCGGCGGGCCGCTTTCTCACCACATCGTCCCTTGTGGACCAAGTTTGAACCAGATGGTAACTGTGACTAGGGTGGCATGTGCATGTGCCACATGGCCGGCCACTCTGCAGCTGCTGACGCGGAGCCTGCGGTGAAGAGCCATTTCACCTGGGAAGCCCTCCTCTGGAGTCGCGCACTCCATAGAGACCCTTTGGGGAGTCGMAGGTGCCCACCAGAGGGGTCGCCACCAGCAAGAGGCCAAGCAGAAAGCCAAGTGACAGGGTAGCAGTGTGTGTGTGTGTGTGGCCGCCTGAGCCCCCCGGACTCCAGGCCTGCCGGTGGCACACAGTGGGTACGAGGCTTCGATTCTGTCTCACCAAAGTCAGGTTGTGAGCTGGCACAGGGGCACGCTCCCTTGACCCCAGCACCTCAGGAGGCTGAGCAGCAGGTGGAGCACTTGAGGCCAGCTGGGCAGCTGAGGGAGACCCCAGTCAGATAGAATTAAAAGGCACACGGTTAGCAGGCCCGAGGCCCGGKTGCCACCCTCTGCACCACAGAGAAGGAGTGCAGCACTAGTGGGGATAGCCGCCTGGCAACTCGAGTGTGCAGAGCTGGGGACCCATGCAGAGAGCAGGAGGGGGCCGCACCCTGTGCTCAGTCATGTCAGCTGACACCTTCCACAGGCTCCCTCTGCTGCTGGGTGGCTTTGTTGGTGACCGATGGTTGGCGAGGGCCGGAAGCCTACACCTCCTGGTCTGTCTGCGGTAGTGAGGTGTCACCATTAACAAGCACCTGGTCGTCACCAGAAGCTGGGACCATGCTGCTCCTTCCAAAGGGCTTCTGGCTGGAGGAGCCGGGCTGCCCAGGCCCCGCGTCCACCCAGATGAGACCCTCGGCCAAGCCCAGCCCCCTGTCTCAAGATGCCGCTGTGGCGCTAGCCTTGCCCGCTCTGCCCAGCTTGAGGCCCTGGGGCCGTGCCCAGTGCTGCAGCAGCCGGGGGAAGGCACTCTGTCTTAGTGAGGTTCGGCTGGTGGTAAAAAGGTCCTCGGACGCCTGCGCTGAGCTCCCTTCAGGCAGGAAGAGCAAACAGTGCCAGCTTTCACTCCTGGCCAGGAGGGCCGGCCCGAGCACATCCCACAGTGTCTTGGTCCCCAGGGACCACAGTGGCCAGGTCCAGGATTTGCCCTCCACGCTGCCCAGCCCCCGTGAGGCACAGCCAGCCACCCCAAGGATCCCACCTTCCAGGTGGCCTTAGCCCCTCGAAGCCACACCCAGGCAGGGGTGCTGCTGGGTGCCCCGCCTCTCATTCATTCCATGGGTGAACTCTCGGCAGAGGGCACAGGGCACGTAGCCACCTGGCACTGCACCCCTGCCCTCTGGCTGGCCCCTCGCTGGGCCCCTGCTCCAGCGCCACATTTCCTCGCCTCTCAGCCTCCTCCTCCTCCAGGGCTGCTGTGGAGAGGCCCGGGGTGACCAGCCRTGGTGCAGGCCACGCATGTCGTCTGAGGGGCTGCAGGTTTAAAACAACCGACCTTCCGCCAGCCGGGTGTGACGTTTAGGGGCGCAGCTTCACCCCCGGGTCTTGGGAGGCGTCCGATGACTGGGAACCCCCTGCCCTCCCTGAGGAGCCGTGACCAGCTGGCCATGAGTCTGGGGCTTCATAGGGCAGTGGAACAGGCCCCCGTCACCTGGCCCCAGCAATATCCGCAGCTCGGACCAGGGTAGACTCACCTCCGCACAGATCGGAACCTGTGTAGCCAGAAACCTAGATGGCGGCAGGGGAGCCCGGGGAGCAGGAAGGGGCTGATGGGGGTCTCACGGAAGGTGAGCTGGGCTCCGGAGCCTACTGCTTGGGCGGGTCCAGCTCAGCCATGCACCTGGGACAGGTGAACTCCAGGCAGGACTCATCTGAGGAGAGGCCAGAGAGGACAAGAGAACCTGAGGCCTTTTAGCCCAATGACACGGGGCAGGGGAGGGACACGGGGCTTTGGGCCAGGAGGCGGCTCTGGTGGGCACAGTGCTCGGCCACAGGTGCTTTGCCCTTTGTCCCTGCAGGCCCCGTGGGGGTGAGCGGGCGCTGGGCCTGGCTGAGCCCCCTGCCGGGCCGCCCTCCTGTGTTCCTACTGTGTCAGCAGTGGACTCGACTGGGAAGATGTGTTTCCATTAGGTCAGTCCCCAAGTGGGGAAAGAGCCTCCTCACCTCCCTGCCGCCAGAGTAGGCTCCAGACGCACACCAGGTGGCACACCAGGTACGTACGACAGGAAAAGGAGAAGGCAGGACCCGGGAGGAGGAGGCCGTGAAGAACCCGATTCCCACAACTGCTGAGGTTGAGAGGCGGCCCTGGGTTCCACCCCCGGTGCCAGAACCAGAAGGTCACTTGTCAAAAGTATTAAGATTAAATTTAAAGAAAGACGGCCACCCGTGGAAGGCTTGACCACAGACTTTTGGTTGCCAGATGGGGGCAGGAGATCTCCACAAGCACCTACTAAGTGCCAGGGCTGGAGGTCCTCCAGGGCCACAGGACCGAGACATCTCCCTGTAAGCACACAGGCAGATGTGTGGCCACCCGTGGAGGGAAGGTGCCCAGGGCTATGGGGAGACCTGGCCAGGGCTGGGAGTGCTGGCGCTGAGATGCTAGGGCGGGCGGTGGTAGTGGGCAGAGCTGGGCTGGGCAGGAGGAGGCGCTGTCTTTCTGGTGGAGCAGGGGGTGCCYGACCCTGAGCCCAGCCAGGAGGGAGCAGGACCTCTGAAGGGCCCTCAAGGCTGGGCCGTCCSGGGAGGGGCAGGATGGTGCTGGCGCAGCAGGCTGGAGGGCCC